TGCCTCCTAACAAAAAGCTTTGTCACTCTTGATGATGATGATAACATTTTTTCTGCATCAACTAATGAGATAGATTGGTATAAACTGTTGACTGTAGATAAGTGTCTCAAAAACAACTTTTATATTCTATTAAAAGCTTATACAATTTAAATAGATAAACAGATGTCATGGCCACAGTATGTTTGCTTTGCAACTAGATAAGCTAACACGTGAATGTGGTGTCCACAAATAACAAAAAGGCTTACATAACAGCATCTCAACCACATCACAGAGTCGGATCATGTTTCTGTTGTGGTCTTTCCAGAAGGCAGAACTGTACTGAGACACAGTCAGGCTGTACAAAAGCAGGTCAGAGTCTGGTCTGAAGATGAAACTGCAGTTCTGACTGAAACATAGTGACGCTGCCATGCACGATAATCACATTGATGTTAATGAGTAAACCGGCTCTGTCATCAGACACAGTATATAGAGAAGTGATGCCACAACCATCAGAACCTCCAACAACTGAGCAAACAGAGGCCATAGATGACATCAGGTTTCAAGTTAGGGATGCAGCCTTTGGCTCAGGATGCAAAGTAGCTCTAAGTTCTGCAGGAATTAGCCTTTGCCGAACCATCGACAAGGCTTACCCAGAATAATATCAATGACAAATTCTGTGATTCCAGAGCCACAAGAGGATGAGGCAGGTGATTCAGGCTGTAAAAAACTACAAGTGGTGGTCACTGATGCCTTGCAGACAGGTTAAATGAAATTTATATCAGGCCAAGAACATACCAGGGATTTAAATTAAACCAAGCTCCACAAGGATGTGTGCTTAGCTCTTTGTTTTTCATTCTGCTAGCACATGGCTATGCTACAAAACTGAGCCTAAACCAGCTCATTAGATAAGCTGATGATAATGGTAAATGTACTGTACTTATATAGAGCTTTTCTATCTTATCAAGATAATCAAAGTGATTTGCACTACAAGTCCTCATTTACCCATTCATACAGCACTCTACTAAATCTTTACAAAGATTAATCAGTACTTTATCACATTCATATGCTGGTGGGACACACATCAGAGGCATTGAGGACTTCCATGTTTTACCCAGGGGCACTTCGACATGTGACTGCTGGTGGAATCGTACCCCCAACTCGTATTGGAGGACGACTGCTCTAGCCACTCAGCCACAGCCGCCTTAGTACTTTTTACTAGTAGTAAAAAAATATTACAGATCTGTCGGGGATCAGTTAGTCAGCTTGAGTTGAGACAACAAAATGTCTTCAAATATCAAAACTAAAGAGCTAACAAAAAAAGATTGGACAAAAATTGTAGTAATGTAAAAAAAAAAATGCTCTTACCCACCCTTAAGCTGTTTAATCCTCCTGCCACTCTGCGGTCAGAAGGACCCACGAGACCTCAGTTTTAAGACTGAGGGACACCTTGTGAGTCATTCTGACCCAAGGAGGGTCAACCTGGAAGATGATACGTTCCATTATAATAAAAAAAAATATTTATATGTCTATTTTTTTTTTCTTTAGGTAAAAAGTCTGCTGTCAACACTCTTCTTTTTTATTTTTTAAGTTGATTTCATGTCAAGAATAAGAGAAAATGGCATAATTTTTACAACTCTTTTTTTAAGAAAGCAACACATCTGAGCCTCCATTTGTGCTAAATCTGAAGCATCAGATGGTCAACAGAGAAGAAATGTATTTTACAACAACTCCAATCTGATATGTGTGTTTACTTGAGTTAAAGCTGTAGCCAAAGGTATAGCTGTCTACAAACAAGCAGTCTGAAAATTCAATGACGGGTTATATTTTCTCCTTTCACATGATATTTGACTTAACCATTCGTGGCTCAGACACATTTTGAATTGTCTACAGACAAGACATTGAATCCTGGAATTGCCCTGATGTGTCCATTGTTGAATGAGCACAACAAGCATTAAATAAATGCAGTAAAATGCAAAAATAAAGCCCTGCATGGGTGTTTATGTCAGAGGCTAAGCATACGAAATAAAATGTTGAGTGCTTTGTAGCACCTTAATGAGCAAGAAAACAACCACTAGGAATATTTTATATTTACAGTACCTTTCTATCCTGCATGCAGATTTTATGCACAGCTTGAATTCTCCATATTGAATGTGATTGATTTTTTTTAATCATCAGTCATCATATTCAACTTTTGTATTTCAGTAAGAGCCTTTCAAACAATGTTACAGTGTAAGGAGGGAAATCAGCAGTTTTTTTTTTACAAAGTTTTGTCAGCAATACATTAAAATTTCCAAGACCTTTTGAAAACAGCGATCCAGTTCAGGATAATGGTTTATGTCCAGCTGGGGCCTCTCAAATGTCACAGCAGCTTAGAGCAGCAAAACTTACAGATAAGCTTTAAAGGAACCCATAAAAGAAAAGTGAAGATGTCACTTTTTGTCATATAGGAAGGCACATTTTTTTTTTATTTTTTTTTAGGAGTGACAAAATATAGCAATGCACATTCTAATTTATGTTCCTAACCTTAAATGTTTATCTTGTTTCCTGACCTATTTTATTTCAAAAGCATTAACGAGGAGGCTGTGGCGTTGTGTTTCAGGTGGGAAGCATCAGTCTTGATGAGGCACGGACAGATTTGTTGACAGGCTCAAAAGGAAGATTGCCGAGAGAAGAAACGATGCCTGAAAGAAGAGGTTTATTCCCAGTGTGCGAGCTGCACATTAAGGAGCCGGATGAGCAGATCAGTCCTTCTGGACAAAAGGCAGCGACATCTTTCAGTGCTACAGAGAAGAAAATAGAAATGTTTGAAGCTTGTATTTGAAGCAAGATGTTCCTTTATTTATTTATTTTCCAGTAAACAGTTACTTGCAAATACACAAACCATCACAGCTGAAGATCAATAAGATGTTGATTACACCTTACCAGCATTTATTCTGTGCAGTGTTTAGCACACAGTAATGAAATAAAGGATGTAAACAGAACAAAATAAAGGTTTGCTTCTCTTGGAATGCCGTAGTCTCTCAGTCAATTATTACATTTTTTTTAATATCTTGTTTGTAATTTACACATTAGTAAATCAAACATTCTTCCTAATTTTTCAAACAATCAGTCCTTGATTTCAGAGCATCATGGAAAAAGGGAGGCTTCTGTTGACATTTGACAGCTTTATTTTGACATGTGTCAAAATCCAGTAGGCATTAAAAGGCTTCAAATATAAATCCAACGATTTTACAACGATTTTAAGCTGCCAAGCACGAGCGCTGCATGGAAATCTGGCTCTGACAGATGAAGGGTGGCACAATGTTTCCTAAAAAGAAATATCAGGGTATAAATAAATGAATGTCAACACCAGGGGGGTAATTCAGATATGAGGCCAACATGTTGAACTGCCAACAGATTAATGAAAAGCAGAGCATGTCTCAAAGGGGCTGAGGATGGTAAACATTTGATTCCACAAGTGCTCACAGAGACTCTAAAGTTACATTTAACTTTAGACTCTTCTTTGAGAGATCAGCCTCCACATATAAGTAACAATCCTAAAATGCATTAATTAACAAATTCATCTGCAGTCAAAAAAAAATAAAAAAATATTTCAGTTGAAATGATTTGATTTGTTACTAAAATTAAAAATATATCAACAAGAAAATTAAATGTAAAGCTCCAGTTTGGCTCGTCTCGTCCTGTTTTGAAATGCTGTTTCTTTATGGTTCTTGTTGAACTGTCCCAACTATTAAAGCAATAAAGATTTTTGTTTTTCCTCCCAAGTTTTTTGGCTATCACTCGTTAATCTCTAATATAAAGTCGATTCACCATGCTCCCCTGAGGCTGGAGGTTTAATTAACAATCCATGCTGCTCAGTGCAGCTGACAACAAAATATATTTTATGCAACAAGTTTTATCTACTTCTTTTTTTTTTTCTTTCGGCTTTTTCCTCTTCAGGAGTCGCCACAGCGATACATTATCCTCCATCTCACTCTGTCCTCTGCATCCTCTGTCCTCACTCCATCTACCTCCATGTCCTCTCTAACTGCATCCATATATCTCCTTTTTGTCTTTTTTCCTGGCAGCTGCATTTCTAACATCCTTCTACCAATATACCCACTGTCCCTCCTCTGTACATGTCCAAACCATTACAGTCTGCCCTCTCTAACTTTATCTCCCAGTTGTTCAACCTGTGCTGCACCTCTGATGATCTCATTCCTAATCATCCTTGTCACAGGATAACTTTAACATCTTCATTGCTGCCACTTCCAGTTCTTTATCCTGTCTTTTTGTCAATGCCACTGTCTCCAGACCATACAACACAGCTGGTCTCACCACTGTCTTGTAAACTTTTCCTTTGACCTTTGCTGACACACTGTCACAAATCGCTCCTGAAACTTTTCTCCATCCACCCCATGGTGGATGGTTGAAATTGACTTGCGACCTGTCCAGGGTGTACCCCACATTTTGCTCAGTGATGACTGGACACGGGCACCAGCAACTTCCGCTACCCAAAAAAGAAGAAGCAGGTAAAGATAATAGATGGATGGATGGATGAATCAGCTGATCACCGGCTGCACGCGTCTCTGCACCTGCTGTCATCCACAGTGAAGGAAGTGGCAGCATCTACAAAAGCCAAAGCGAGCAGCACGTTCCATTAAAATAGCCTTGTTCTAAATGTTTCCAAATAATTTTACTTTAAAAATATTTTTGTTCATCCGTATAACAGCCTATCTTTAGAGTTGATTTTTTTAGGTTATTCGTTTTGTTTCCATTTGGTGACTTGTTAATAAAAATAAATCTTGTATCTGAAATATATTTCTATCAGTATTATATTTTATGTTACTGAAAGTTGCGTACACCTATGGATGCATATTAAACCGATGAAGAACCTGTATTTCCGGGTTTTTGTTTCCGGTAGGAAGGAGTTTTAGTTACACGCCTGCACTCTGCAACAAGCGTGACACTTGATTGTTTACATCAATGATGGACGTATTACTGGCTGAGAGGCTGGTCACGTGGTAAGATTAGGCTGTCCTATGAGCGGAGATGACGACACCAAGGGGTGTGACCAGTTTCTGAAGAAAAATGTGGTGCGCTCTGTTAACGAGGCGGCTGTTCAGGTGAAATGGGCAGACGTGATGTGAGTTTGTGATTTCCACTTATCTGTTCAATAAACCTGCAATAATCCTGTGCACATTTGTTTCAGAGCCTGCTTCAGACCTTTGAATAGCGCTTACATATCTTTCTTTCCTTACGTTTTTAAAACTATCATGTCAAACTGATTTGCTTACAAAAGCAGTAAAAGCTTAATTAAAAAAAAAGTCTTTTTTGGGGGGGGGGGGTTCGGCCCTCTAATTACGTTAATCCGTTGGGTCCGGGTAGGGCTCGGAAAAAAAAAATTATGGGCTCAGTCCGGGCCGGGCTGGATTTATTAGGCCTGAATGCAAATCTAGTGTGAATAACTTGTTCAATGACGCTGCTGTAACGAAGAAGCTAACACTAAGCTGTTAAAGTAAAAACACGCTGAATAGCTGCTAATATTAGCAAAAGGAGCAGAACAATTTCTAATAACAGCAAACAGTTGGTAAGAGCTGCAAAACAAAATGAGCAAAACAGAAGTAGAAATGAACCAAAAATAAAAAGGCAGAAAGATTTAAAGCACAATCATAAAATTAAAAGCAGCAAATCCTTAAACTTAATCTGTGCGCTGCTTTTGTTACTTTAGTAACTGCTGCTGTTTCAAATGTGCTTTATAAATAAAGTTGATTTGACTTGACTTGCTTCAGCCTGATTTTGTCTGATTTACCTTTTATGATCAATAATGGTCAAAAATTGGAGTTCATGATCTAACTCACTTCTATGGGAGGTTACTATTAAGACAGCGTCTGTTCTTTGTAGCTATCCACAGACAACTTCTTGCTGTTTGCAGGGAGTTTGATCATTTGACACCAGGGAAAAGACGTAATAAAGAAAAGCAAGTAAAAGGGAATCAAAAAAAAAAAAAAGTATTATCAAAGTTTATTGATGTTCAACCATAAACACTCAAAAAAATCATTACATTCAGAAGACATGTTTCAAATCAAAAATATAAACTATGAAAAATAAACTCCTTATTCACAAGCAGAGCTTTAGAGTAGACGTGTTGAAAGCAGTGGTCCAAACCACCTGCAGCAGGTGTAGAAGAGGGGCTGCGCATGTGGAAGAAATTGGAATGGAAATGAGCACTTTACAGAACACATTTCAGACTAATACATGCCGATATTACTGCTACGCCACTAGACACTGCTACGTGTTCGAGCTCTCTTCTGAGAGTCTTGGCATGATTTACATCGAGACTTCTTTCTGACCAATTTAAAACAGTCTGTAATAAAATGGATCTATTCTCCCTCTGCTGCTTGTGTGCCATATTGTTGCCTTGTTCTTTCAACTGAGACCAAATTATTTGTGTAACAAATTTTATTTTAAAATACATTTTCAATCTTTTGATATTAATTTTATTAGGATAAATCCATTACCTCTACAAAATCACCAACTCAATTGACTTTTAGTTATGATGATCACCTACATGCTTAAACAATGTATTGACAGGAGGGGGGGAGGGGTTATTAAAAAAGGAAAAACAACTGGCAAATTGGATTCCTTCAGGAAATGCTACATCTTTAATTGAGTTTCATCTTCATCTGGTTTTAGTCTAAATGATACACGTTATAAACAGAAACTATACATTATGTTCTTTCTATTCCATAAAAATAGGAAAACATGCTCCCATTTTAACTGCTTTCTGGTTAATATTAAGATAATCAAAGCCAAACAAACAACAAATATGCATACTTGCACATTGTTACATATGAATCTTTGCAGGCTTTACTGTTTAATTTGATTACAGTCCGACTGATCACAAACATCCAAAGACACATTTCACCACCTTGCAGCATCAATACTCTCCACGGTTGTGCATGGATACCTTTCATTAGTTGATACATTAAATTGGCTCGTTTTTGTATATTTTTTTTCATTTAGAGTTTTTAAAAATCAAACAGTTGCTTCTTTTAGGCTGCATTTTATTCTGCACCATTTTGAGTGGCCCAACTAATAACAACAACCGTGTACTCGTATGTGGCTTGTAGCAGTTGCCTCATGAGTGCAAACATAATGACCTCTCAAAAAGCAAAGCATGCCCTTTTATAATATAGTTATCATTCAGTAAATTCAATTTCCTGTTCTCTCTGATGTGCATTTATTGCTGTTTATTGTAAAAAAAAAAAAAAAAAGCACTGGTGATAAATTTAATGTGAATATATAACATGTTTCTGTAGAAGGAGTGCTTTATAGAGATGGCTGAAGCCGGGGTGGCAAAGCATCTTTTCAGGACAGCTATCCATCAGTTCTGAGCGTACCAAACCAGACCAGTCCACTGAAAAGTACTTTTCAAGCAATGTGGAAAATCAGTACGACTCCCTGGTCCAACTCTGGTGCTGTCCCACTCACACCAGGTGCTGATTTACAGAACCTCTTGAAATCTTATTCTTATTGCAACTCAATCAAAAGTACAGAAAGCACACTAATCAGAAGTTGTTGTTTTTTTAGTATAAGGGCACTAGAATTATCATGAACAAGATTGGAATAGAAAAAGACTTCCATATTTTTTGGACTATAAGGCACACTTAAAAACCTTTAATTTTCTCAAAAATCAACAGTGAACCTAATAATCCGGTGCGCCTTATGTGTTACCATATTTTTCACCCCTGTGACTTACAGGCCGAAGCGACGTATTCATGGATTTTTTCCTCCATATTTGTAAACCAATTTTTGACAGAGATATGACCGTTTTCATTCATTCTGACTGAAGAAAATTGAACAGTACCATTTTCAGCCACTAGATGGAACTCGAGCAGTAAGGCATGCTGTTGTGTCATGTAATAGGCAAAGTGGCTATAATGACAAATTCAAAAAAGTTCAAGACAAAAACAACTGAACTTTATTTATTATACTTTACTTCATACTTTTTTTCTTGGAACTTTTTTGAATTTATTATCTCCTGGATGACCGAGAATCTTCACCAGCTATTAATGACACAATCGGCTTGCCATTGCCTGCCACCTTTGTTCTGCTCGCTGCTAGGAACAGCTGTCAAAATTAGCTGCATTTTGCTGCACTGCCCCGGCGAAATGCAACTAATTTGACCATTAAAGTGCATTTATTAAGTAAAAGTTAGACTGAGACACACATTTACTATAATTTTGAGCAAACAAATAATTGTTAAGTGTCAATCTTGTTAAATTCATGTTAAAGTCTTCCTGTACACACGACTACCATTTAGCAGCCAATTGATTTTTGGCACAACACCGGTCCACATTTCTGGGTTGTCAGCGGTGATGCATATTAGATGCAATGTATACAGTGAAATAACATATTTATAGATTTTTCCACTTTATTAGACATATTTGGACTGATGCGACTTATAGGGTGGAGCAACCTGTATGGCAGAAAATATAGTAATTCTGGTTGTGCTTACTGACCTCGAACTGATTTTATGTGGTGCACGGCGCTAAAAAATCTGTCAAAATATTTTAGTTTTGCTTAATGCACCTTATAATCCGGTGCACCTTATAGTCCGAAAAATACAGTATATAATATTTATATAATGTATCTAGGAGCAATGAACTCGGGATACGTTTTTAAAGCCAGAAACATGCTGCACAGTGATGCAGTTCAGTTGTTTACCATAAAAAGTCATATTTTTGTGAACATTCCAGTAAAGACAGAGCTGTTTCCATACATTTTAATGTCTACTGCTGTGCATGTGTTATTTTCTCTGTATCCAAGACTGAATGACAGCTGGTGTTTTGGAAAAACAAATACTTTTTCAGAGTTATAGTTACTGAAATGCACCATATCTGGGGAAAATGTTAGAGAAACAGCCTCATATATTCAACTTCACATTTAAAGGGTGCTCAGAAACATTATTCATCGGTCAGACCCGTTGGTTTTTCTCTGAATTCTGGTAGTAAAGAATGATTATTATCTGACGGGGAAAAGAAGTGATAATTAAAATCAAAATCTTAATATTTATGAAGCAGCTATATTCATATGACATCTGTGCACATGAACAGTTAAGATGTTTGAAGGGAAAGATATAAACGATAAGTGGTATACTTGTAGATCATTTTTAAATGACCTTTGTTTGGAGAAAAAAGAAGTTAAGAGGATTTTTGTACATTAAAAGCTGTCAGTGTTTTCAGCTAAAAAAAACTTTCAGACATTTCTAAATAAAAGTCAAATTCTGGAATCAATTCAGTCAGGACATAAAGCCCTCCACAGCACAAAAACTGTTTTTTATAAGGTTGGTTATTTTGCTCAGTGACCTTGGAAAATGTGCCATTCTTATTTTGTGTGTACCTTCTTGAGAAAGGGGAAATGCATCAGGCCAATTAAGACCTCAGCACTCTACTCTGTTTCTATTTCACAACACCTTTACCCTTTTCCAAAGGCGATAAAGTGTTTTATTAAAACACATTCTCAACTATTCATTTACCTACAACACACGCCGCCCTTTGATCACACGCAGCACAATATTTTTAAATATTTCATACAGTCATTTACTGATGACAATATCAAGAATAATCTGTGATTCAGTGTTTGGATCAAGGACAGAACGTGTGCTTCACTGACCTTTAGAATAAACGTTGACCACTTTCTAAGCATCAGTTTCTCCCTACGGTTGGAATAATATATAAAAAAAGGCTTTTTAAAATGTGCTATCATTGAAAATTTTGCAGACAAGGAGAAAGTAATGTAAAAATCTGCAAACACCATTAGAAAAATCAGTTGTCACCATTTGTGAACAATTTAATCCTTTTTGCTTTTGTGTGATGCGAAACTGGTAATTGCTGTCAACAAGACAAATTTCAGCTTTATGATGCGCTGAGCCTTATTTCTTCCCAGTTGTCCTCTTTGTGTTCATATCTATAGATTGATTTTCTGATTTGTCTTCAAAGAGGAGCTTTTTTTTAAATTAAGACGTATTACTTTGTCAAATTTCTCGCCATTCATCTGTTAACAATTTGACAAGAACTTACATTGCACTTTGGTAGATTTGCACAGTTTATTATTACTGAGT